AAAAGTGGGATGACTGGGTCAGATGGTATCTCTATTTTTTTTGGTAGATATAGCCATATTGCTTTCCAAAAAATTGCAGCAGTTCACATTCCCAACCAGCAAAGCCTGAGAAGCTGTTTTCCTGCATCCTCGCCACCTCTGGCATATTGTTCCTCTTAATATTTGCCAAATTGATGGATTAAAAAATAATATATCATTACTCCTTTAATTGTATTTCTTCAACCCCTACAAAGTCTCAATAATGTTTCACTCCAGCTATTTTATTTTTTTCATTTCTAGAAGTCTATTTAACTTTAAAAAAAATCTGCCTGATCATTTTTGATCATATCTTCTTGTTCCTTACTCATGTTTTATAAATACACCATTTTATTTATTTAAGCACATGAAACACACCTGTATGCTATACCCAATAATCTCAGTCTCTGAGGAGTTTGTGGATCTGTTTCTGTTGACTCTCACTCATAGAACCTTGTTTCCTTTTGTGGTTTGTGACTTTTGATTGTGAGCTTGTGTTTGCTGGATTGCTATCTGTGTGGATTTTTTGAGGCTTGGTTTGATTATACTCTCCTCCAAGGAGGGTTTCGTTTCCTATGTCAGGCATCTGACAGCACTATCAAGTCCATTTTAAACTAAATTCCAATTGTTGTTGCTGCTGATCACATTGGGTCCCAGATCTATCTGAGCTCTTGCCTATAGCCAAACATTTTCAGGGGAGACTTTTCTCCACCCAGAACCAAGGAATGAGACAAGCAAGTTTCCACAGCATTTGCCTTGGAGTGGCAGATTTTTTCTAATTTACCCTTTTATAGTCTCTGATCTGATATCCTACCCTCTGAATTGCCCAGGATTTGTCTTCTAGCCCCCTCTCCTTAAAATAAAGTTTCTAGGTCACTCAGGGTTGGAGATAACCCCAGGGAAGCCCCTGGAATCAGTGCTCAATCATCTCAGAGTACCTCAGCGCATTTCCTTAACTTTCTTGCCAGCTCAGACATATATAGACACACACATGTTCAATATTTTCAATATTTTTTATTGTTGTTTTTTATTTGTACAAATTTATGGGGTACATGTGCAATTTTGTTACAAGCGTAGATTGCATAGTGATCCAGTCAGAGCTTTTGGGGTATCCATCACCCAAGTGATGCACATTGTACTCATTAATTTCTCATCATCCACCCCTCAATATTTTCAATATTTTGAGATGCCTTGTAGCTGGAGGATTTCAGAATATCTAGTCCTCCATATTATTGGAAAAAGACGTCCAGCATATTTTTATATACTCATTTACTCTTTCATTAAAGTTATTTGTGCTTTTCTCTTTAGCAAAGAGACAACATATTTCAGGCACCTGTGTCCCCTGCCTCCAACTCCTAGCCAAGGTCAGTATCAGTAACTCTTGGTTGAATAAATGAGCGACAACCCACACGGGGGGGAGGGAGAAGAAAGGATTGGAAAGGTACCCATGCTGGGTGGGTGATGCTGGATAGCATGGCATCATGGAGGCTAAGGAAATGAGCAATGACATTTACTGAGCCCCTAGGAAAGCCCCTAAATCTGGTGTTGTCTAAATTTCCAAGATGACAAGATGCTTGTTAAATATGCAGATTCCCAGGCCCTTCCTTGGTTACTCAGTTTCAGTCTGGAGGTGGGGCCCAGGATGGTGTTTAACATATACCCAAGGCCAGTCTTACCATCAGGGAAGTTTGGAAAATATAGTAATTATTTCACTTAATTTAATTCTCACAACCACCTAGCCAAGTATTCACGTGTATTTTACAAAAGAGGCAATTTGGGCTCTGAGAGGGGAATGATGGAAGGTCACATAGCTGGTAAATGGCAGGGCCAGGGTTCCATTCCCTGTTGTCTCCCTCTAAAGCTTTATCTTTATTTTTTCCCCCAAGTTTCTGTACCATTAGTTGATTAACATGAGTACAGGTTATGACCAAGAGTCACTATTTCCTTTTATTTTTTTCATTTATTTTTTTTTTTTTTTGAGACAGAGTCTCACTGTGTTGCCCGGGCTAGAGTGCCGTGGCGTCATCCTAGCTCACAGCAACCTCAAACTCCTGGGCTCAAGCGATCCTCCTGCCTCAGCCTCCCGAGTAGCTGGGACTACAGGCATGTGCCACCATGCCTGGCTAATTTTTTTTTTCTATATATTTTTAGTTGTCCAATTAATTTCTTTCTATTTTTAGTAGAGACGGGGTCTCGCTCTTGCTCATGCTGGTTTCGAACTCCTGAGCTCAAACAATCCGCCCGCCTCAGCCTCCCAGAGAGCTAGGATTACAGGCATGAGCCACCGTGCCCGGCCTCCTTTTATTTTTTATTGTTGTAAAAAACCATATAACATAAAATTTACCATCTTAACAATTTTAAGTATATAGTTCAGTAGTATTAAGTGTATTTTCAGATCTCTAGAACTTTTTCATCCTACAAATCTGAAACTCTGTAGATATTAAATAACAACTCCCATTTTCCTTGTCTCTCCAGCCTGTGGTAACCACCACTCTACTGTCTGTTTCTATGGATTTGACTACTTTAGGTATCTCGTATAAGTAGAATTATACAGCATTTGTCTTTTTGTGACTTGCTTATTTCACTTAGCATAATGGCATTGAGGGTCATCCATGTTGTAGCATGTGCCAGAATTTCATTCCTTTTTAAGGCTAAATAATATTCCATTGTACGTACATACCACACTTTGTTTATCGATTCATCTGTTGATGGACATTTGATTCTACCTCTTGGCTATTGTGGATAATGCTGCTATGAATATGGGTGTACAAATATCTCTTTAAAATCCTGCTTTCAGTTCTTTTGGATATATACCCAGAAATGTAATTGTTGGACCATATTGCTATTTTTGATTTTTTGAGGAACCTCCATACTGTTTTCCATAATGATTGTATTGTTATTTTTTTAGCTAAGTCGATTTTTTTTAGACTTTAGTTTTTAGAACAGTTTTAGATTTACAAAGAAATTGAGAAGACAATACAGAGAATTCCCGTATACCCCACACTCAGTTTTCCCTATTCTTAACATATTACATTAGTATGGTACATTTGCTATTATTAATGAACCAATATTGACACATTAGTTTATTATATTAGTTTATTCATATTTCCTTAGTTTCTGTCTAATATCCATTTTCTGTGTCAGGATCCCACCCAGGATACCACATTACAATTTAGTCGTCATGTCTCCTTAGGCTGTTCTTGGCTGTGACAGTTTCTCAAATTTTCCCTGTTTTTGATGACCTTGATAGTTTTGAGGAGTACTGGTCAGTTATATTGCAGGATGCCCCTCTCTTGGAATTCATCTGTTTTTCTCATGATTGAACTGGGGTTATGGCTTTTGGGGAGGAAGATTATTTTCATCATATCATATCAAGGGTACATACTAGCATCATGATTTACAACTGTTGATGTTGACCTTGATCACCTGGCTGAAGTAGTGTTTATTTATTAGTTTCTGCACTGTAAAGCTACTTCTCTTTTTCCCCCTTCCCACACTGTACTCTTTGGAAAAAGTCACAATGCACAGCTCCTACCTAAAGAGTGGGAAATTATGTTCCCCCACCTTTTGGGTTATGTTTTAACAAGGAAAATAACCCCACAGAATAAGTACCTAACTCTTTTCACTATCGGTCAGATTTTGCACTCCTAGCATCTGCCCTCGGGTGACTAAATAATCCACACTGGCCATGGTTAATGAAAATTAAAATGGAGATCCAGCCTGAAGAATCCCTGAGCAGACAAAACCAGTTGTGTCTCAGAAGTGACCTCAATCTTGCATGATTTGCAAGCATAAATAAAATTTAATTTGAGTCATTTCTGGTAATGCTTATGTTAGACAGAAACAAAACTTAATCTCAGCCAATCATAAGCAGCCAACTGACATAGGATTATGTGATTAGGGACTTTTCAACAAGGTAAATTAAAAAATGGCAATTCTATAACTGTAACCAATAAAATAATTTCTTTATTTTGCTTCTATAATTTCCCCATAAATACTTGCTTCTGACACTTTGTCATGGGAACACTAAACCTCTTTCCATCTGGTGTTCCCCAGTTCATGAATTGCTTCTTACTCAAAGAAACCCCCAAATTGTATTTTATTTAAGCAGAATCTTGCTCTTTCTCCCCAGGTGGAGTGCAGTGGCATCATCATAGCTCACTGCGACCTCCAATTTCTCCCCAGTAGCTGGGACTCCAGGCACGGCCCCAACACCCAGCTAATTTTTCTATTTTTAGTTGAGATCTGGTCTTGCTCTTGCTCAGACTGGGCAGGAATTCCTGACCTCAAGCGATCCTCCCCACTCGGCCTCTCAGTGTTAGGATTGCAGGCATGAGCCAATATGAGCCTGGCTTTGTTTTACTTTTTAATGCCACCCTACCCCCTGGAGCCCTGTTTTTCTCATCTGTAAAGTGGGTGTTGCTGATCTTTCACCCCTTAGGACTGTAGGGAGTAGAAAGTCTCCGGTTGTCAATGTCAATTTCCTCTGCCTCCCTCAATTTGACTATTGGGGAACCCAAGGCCCAGAGAGGGGCAGTGACTTGTGTCAACCTAAATAAGGAGATTCAGCCAATATGATTAAATATTGAGTTTGGGTGCAAAGTTTGAGGACTGCCACTGGGGAGGACACAGACTCCAAAAAGATTGGGTCAGTACCTTGGAGGGGAGAGGTTTGAACGGCGTTTATATAGGCAAGGAGAAGCATAAGAGGAGTTCAACTTTTTTCATGCGAGTTTAGCGCATAGTTGCAGCAATTTGATTGGTTGAAGGCAGTGTCTCTTTCTGGGAAGGGTATATTTAATATTCCACATTAAGTACGTAATAGTCAAGGGGTCTTTTCTCTCAGGTGCCATCTGGTCTGAGCCAGGGACAACAAAGTAAGGCAGGAAGTTAATCTATAACAAAAGGTCAGTAATTAAAGGGCCATGCTCCATGACTAGGTCTCCAAAGTCAAGCTTCCTCAAGGCCTAACAACTTTTAGAAGCCCCAAATACGTGGACTGTCCACTCTCTTTCACACCTGCCAAGGGTCTCACCGCAAGGAACGCCCCGCTCAGGCCAATCCGCCCGGGCGCAGTGGCCCCCACCCAGGGGCGGGAGCCAGGTGCACTTCCGGGGCCCAAGTTACCTGGCCTGGCAGGGCTGCGCAGTGCGAGCCGACAGCCGCGCAGGGATGATAAGCCTGACCTCTGTGCCCCGGTCCCCGCGGCCTGGCCCGCCGACGGTAAGTGCGTGCCCCGCCAGGGGCGAGCGGGCGGCAGACCCACCGGCGACTCTCACACCGCCGCGCTCTTCTTTCGCTCCTCCCCAGTTTCTGTCGTCCGTCCCAGTCCCCGAGTCCGAGTCCTCTGCTCCAGGCGCGCTGTGACGCCCTTCGCCTCTGGCTGGGCGCTCTCTTTTCCCTTTGGACGTCCCTGCCGCTTTGATCGCTCTCCTTTCGCGGCTGGGACTCTGCTCCCGCTCCGGCTCTATCCTGCGTCTCCTCCGTGCCCCTCTTTCTCTCCTGGCTGCTGTGTCTGTCTCCTCCCTTTCCTCTAGGTCTTTGTTCCCTGGCTTGTTCTAGTCCACGGCTCTTCCTCTGTCCCTCCCTCTCCCCTGGCCCTGTGGGAGAAGCCTGGCCAGAGGCTCATTCCCTCACCCCAGCGCCCACCACCCCCAGCCTGCCGCTGCCTTCTGGCTGGGGCCTGATTCCTCCGGCTTGCCTGCCCCCGCCCCAGGCTTTCTGAGGGGCGTTTGGGAGGATGGGGAAAGGCCAGGCGCACTCTAGGAGCAGAGAATTCTGATTCTCTCCTGGACTGAGAGCCATCCTGGAGACTTGGAGGAAGGGAAAGCAGATCTGGCAGTAGGGCGAGTGTGGCTCTTTCCAATAGGGCGATGATAACGTCATTGTTGTTGGCTAGCTACAAAGCCACCTGCTTGCTCAAGGCCAGGACTGCCCTGGTGCTCAATAAACGCCTGAATGAATTACTGGGCAAGTGTAATGCCTGGAGCCTGCACTGGACATGATGCCAGGTAAGGCAAGATTGGCCTTTAACAGAATACCAAGGTGCTCCCGTAAACCAGAGCTGAGGGTAAGCACCATTCCGTTCAGATGCTGAGCCCCGTAGTAGGTATTGGTGACATAATGACAAACCAGGTATAGTCCCTCCCTTAGGAACTTCACAGTCTAATGGGGATACAGGTGACAAATACGGAAATATAAGAGAGGAGATGTCATGACAGTGGAAGATTGTCTTCCCCAGCCTCTGCCTACAGGACCTAGGACAGCTTTCCCTCCCACCCAGGAATCCTTTGGCAGGGTGCCTGCCAAAGGTGGGGAAGGGGAAGGGTAGCTGGTCCTGAAGAGGGATGGAAAAGAAGTCTCTATCTCCTAGAAACACACGGCAGTGTTTATGGATGAGGTAGGAGGTCTGGGATTTGCAAAGGGTTTGGAAGTTTTGGAAGAAGAGGGAAAAGAGGGACAGAATTAAGCTCAGGAACAGGGCTAAGGTCTTGTTTGAGAAATAAAGAAATGAGGCTGAGGATGTCAAGACAGGAGGCTATTTTTTTGAAGCATCTGGAAATTAGCTTCACAAAAGACATTTGAAGTGATTGGATCCATTAGACTTTCTATTTCTAACAAGTTCCCAGGCGATGCTGATGCTCGCCTGGTCCATTAGAGCTCTTAGAGCTCTCTTGGTCCATTTCTTAATAATTATTTTAAGCTTATCTTAATCTATAAATAGATAAGTTTAATCTATAAATAGATAAATTTAGGCCCAGAGAAAGTGAATGGCCCCAGGCGCATAGCTAAGTATTGGCAGCAGTGGGGCAGGATGTTGGGAAGGGGGAGGTGGGGGGGGGAGGGGGACGACATCCAAACTGTACTGGAGTCACACCGATATGGTTCGATCCCAGCTTCAACTTTATCACTTCCTAGCTGTGTGTCTTCTCTCTGACCTTTACTCACCTGTGACATGGGGATATTAGGAGGGATGGTGAGATAGGAGTAATGAGAACATATTGGTCCATTCAAGGGTTAAAGTCTGCAACTTCACATGTAACTGCCAGCTCTACAGAGGTGACCTCAGGGTTAACCAAATAGCCCTGCCAAGGAGGCTTGAGGTTTATGGGAGAAAGAAGGAGTCACAGGTTCTGAGCTTATTTTTCTCAGCTCTATTGTTTGGCTGCTGTCAAGATGCATCCTCTCCTCTGCCTTTTCCCCTCCAGGCAGCAGAACTGTCCCGGGTAGGAGCTGTTGCCATGGCAACTCAATTCTTCCCCAGTACTTTGGTTGCTTTTGGCTCTCTTAATTCCAGTACTTTAATCTTAGAGGTAGAGCCCACAGACCAGTTGAGAATGAGGTCATACATAAATCAGAATGAAGGACATTCCTGAGCCCCATTTCCAACCTTGGCCCTGCAATGACCTGTGGTACAATCTCCAGGTTAGCGGTCCCTTTAACACTGCACAGATCTTTTCTGCAGCATGAGCTATCACAAGCCCTAGGAAACCTTCTTTGACAGCCTCCAACACACACCCACAAAACCAGCTGACCCCGCCTACCTCTGAGTCTTCCCTGTCAGCTCCTACATGTTTAAACCATCTGTTTCCTTCTCTCCCCTGTGAACTCCTTGAAGGCAGGGACCGTGTCTTACTGTGCTTGGCACAAGGTTTGCATGCAATAGGCCCTCCATACGTTTTGTTGAATGAATGACTCACTTAGGGAAGAGTGGAGGTGTTGGAAAGTTGAAGGTAATTTATGCACTGACCAAGAGCTCTAGCTTTGGAGTAAAATGGACCCGAGTTCAAATCCCAACATCATCACTTAATAGCTGATTGATCTTAGGCAATTTACTTCATCTCCTTAAGCCTTAGTTTCTTCTATAAAATGGGGGTTTAATACATTCTTCACAGAAGTGTTGTGAGGATTGAATTAGATAATGTATTTAAAACACTGTGCACAGTTCCTAGACTGTGAGGGCAGGACCTACATCCTGCTTGTTCATCACTGTGTCCCAGGTACCTGGCACAAAGCACAAAGTAGGCACATACATATTTTATTGAACAGGCAAGTGAATTTTTTTTTTTTTTGAGACAGAGTCTCACTCTGTTGCCCTGGCTAGAGTGAGTGCTGCGGCATTAGTCTAGCTCACAGCAACCTCAAACTCCTGGGCTCAAGCGATCCTCCTGCCTCAGCCTCCTAAGTAGCTGGGACTACAGGCATGTGCCACCATGCCCAGCTAATTTTTTCTATGTATTTTTAGTTGTCCAGATAATTTCTTTCTATTTTTTTTTTTTAGTAGAGACGGAGTCTCGCTTTTGCTCAGGCTGGTCTCGAACTCCTGAGCTCAAAAGATCCGCCCGCGTCAGCCTCCCAGAGTGCTAGGATTACAGGCCGTGAGCCACCACACCCGGCCTGCAAGTGAGTTTTAAATAACAAAAGTCATTTAGGATTGTTCTGGTTTGTAAGGATAACAACTGGTGTATCACCTCATGAGTAATAATCATTATATGGTCTTCTGGTATTATCGTGAGTCTCTGTGGCAGCACTTAGTGTTCCCTGAATTCAGCCTGAGTCTGTTTCCATATCCCTCTATTCCTCTACCCACTCACCTGTGAGCATGTACAAGCAGGTACCACCCACAGGACTTAGTGCTCAGCCCTGCCCTCTGGCACAGAGACGTGGCCTCTAAAAGTTCTGTTGGACAGCCAAACTTAACTTACATTTGCACTGCACTTCACAGTTTATGAAACAGTTTTACACCCACTGTATCTAGTATTACTGGCCTTTTCACCAATGAGAATATTCCTATTCTTATTCGAGACCTATGAGTCCATATTTTGAAAGTCATTCATCAAACAAATTCCATTTTTGCCAGGATGATGGCTTGAGCCTGTAATCCCAGCTATTCCAGAGGCTGAACCGGAGGAGAGCTTAAGCTCAGGAGTTTGAGGCTGCAGTGAGCTCTGATTGTGCCACTGCACTCCAGCCTGGGTGACAGAGCTAAAAAAAAAACAAAACTAAACAAAAAAAACTGCCACAACTTCCATTTTTAAAATTAATCGAGGGCATGCCAACTGCTAATCAGAACTTCTGATCTACATGAAATAAGAATTTTTGGCCCCAACTCCCAGCATAGGATGTGGGTGCCCAGTAAGTATCCAAGAAATGCTTCCTGAATAAATACATGTGTGGTTTCTTCGGTCTTTCTGAAATGTTGAAAATGTCCCTCCTCCCAGGTTGGGAACTCCTGACTTCACAACAATTCCATATGCCCACTTTATAGATAAAGATACTGAGGCCTCAGGAGGGAAACAAGCTTGCCAAAGGCCACAGACTTTGGAAGTATTATCACGGGGAATTCTTCTATGGTAGCTCCTCTCCTAACATTCTGTGACCTAAAAAAGAAAGTTAAAATGCTTGAATGCATATTCTTTTTTCAAACAGAAATCTTTTTCCTTTTTAAAATGCCCACCCTCTGGAGCTATACCGCATAAATACAACCCCCTTGGTAAGATGGGCGTTCCAGTAGCTGGAGCCGATCATTAAGGCTCACCTAAGTTCTGAAGTTCTGTACCTGGTTTATTCTTTGGATAAAAACAAGTCATGAGCTCCCTGGAGGTGGCGCTGTTGGCTCACTCTGCCTGTTGTGCCCCCAGATGTCTACGGTTGTGGAGCTGAACGTGGGGGGTGAGTTCTACACCACCACCCTGGGCACCCTGAGAAAACTCCCGGGTTCAAAGCTAGCAGAGATGTTCTCCAGCTCCGCCAAGGCCTGCACGGATGCGGAGGGCCGCTTCTTCATCGATCGCCCCGGCACCTATTTCAGACCCATCCTGGACTACCTGCGCAGCGGGCAGCTGCCCACGCAGCACATCCCGGAAGTGTACCGTGAGGCTCAGTTCTACGAGATCAAGCCTTTGGTCAAGCTCCTGGAGGACACGCCGCAGATCTTCGGTGAGCAGATGGCTCGGAAGCAGTTTCTGCTGCGAGTGCCAGGCTACAGCGAGAACCTGGAGCTCATGGTGCGGCTGGCGCGCGCTGAGGCGGTGGCAGCGCGCAAGTCGAGCGTGCTGGTGTGCGCCGTGCACACTGAGGAGGAGGATGCGCAGAGTGCCGAGGCCCTGCGTGCCCTGGAGGCTGACAAGAAGTCTGTCGTCAAATTCGGGCCCTGGAAGGCGGCCCCAGACACACACGACCTCCTGCACTGCGTGAAGATGGACATTAAGGCCCAGGGGTACACGGTATTCTATGAGCGCTACCAGTTTGAGAAGGTATTCCGGGCCAGGCCCTGCCTTTCCTTCTACACATTCATCTTCACCTGGTGGTGATCCCCAGGGGCAGGAACTGTTTGTCATGGGCTCTGGTGGGGCTTATGGAATTAAAAGTTGCCATCAAAAGCCATCTTCCTTTAATTTCACAAACTTCGGACAACTTCCAAGGTTGTTCTAGAGTCTTGTCCCAAATATTTATCTCCCCTTTGAGGACTCTCCACTCCATTGCAACTGACCCCACTATACTTGCCTAGCAAGTTGCACCTGCTCCCTCTTCAAAGCCTCATGTACCTGTCAGACCCTCCTCGAAGTCCAATAACAAGACTGAGATAAGTTAGAATGTTTCAACAATGCGTTAGCAGGAGATGTGTGATGCCGACAGGAAAATACAGGATGCCATGAATCTAGATATTCTGACCTAAAGATGCAGTCTACCCAGCCCCCACTTGTGGTCCAGTCCATCTAGGCGTGTACCTTCGTGCAGTAGATGCTTCTCAGATCCCCTCACAGCTGTCCTCTTCTCTAGAGCAGTGGTTTCCTAAGAGCAGCATCAGCATCGCCTGGGAACTTGTTAGAAATAGAAATTCTCAGGCCCCACCTCAGACTTACTGAATCAGAATCTCTGGGGGTTGGCCCAGCAATCTGGGTTACCAAGCCCTCCAGGTGATTCTGTTGCACTCTAATTTTGAGACCTTCTCTAGAAAAGAATTGCTACCTCTCTTGTATGGAGGTACAAGACACTGACCTCTTACCTAAGCAAGTCCTGTTCCAGAACTCCTCCTGGGATGAAGCTGAAGTCAGTCTTCAGGTGAGAGCACATTCTTGCTTAGCTTTTTTTCCAGTGCCCTATGCTGCTTCCCTCACTCCCCTTCTCCTAAGAGCACTCCTCAATAAAGTGCTTTGGGTTCTGCTGCTCAGCCTAAGACGGTACTTAACTCTAAGGAGGAAACATAGACATTCATCCTTCTCCAAGTAGGTCTAAGATAGACAGTCCCTTTCCCTGTCTAGTAGCTCAACCAGCCATTCTTGGTCATCTGGGACACAGGACTTCCAGTGCCAAAACTCAGGAGGTCCCAGGTAAACTGGGATGAATTGATCACCCTACTTCCTACCCAATCCTTCCTCACTTTGTTTCTTTTTCCTTTGGAAAGCCTCTTCCATGGTTACAGATCCAGAAATAACCTCCCACTCAAGAGTGACCGTATGTACCCATAGGAACCTGGCTTTGGTCCCTACTGGCATAACCATTATCTCTATCCAGACTTTTCACAACCATTTGAACTTTTCCCTTTATGACACTTTCCCCTCCTGCAGCATCTCTGTGGTATGCTTCAGTGAAGGTCCACAAGCTTTTCTCTTGGGCTTGGAGCCTGACTCCGTGAGGATATTTTTAGTTTTTGTACTTTGCAATTTCTTCAAAAGACCGAGCAGTCGTCTCTAATACTTACAACCTACCACAGTTATTCAGCCCTTCCCTTTGGGAACTCCAGGTTCGGGGCTGTTGGGTTCTTCCTGTGCCCAAATATTTTTAACATATTGCTCCTTGCTTTGAGAAAAAAGTCCAGTCTCCATGGTATGAGAACTCTTTTCTGGCTCCACCTATTGCTAGAATCTCTCTGGGTCTCAAATGATAATAAAAGAGTCTCTTCCAACTCTGGTAAGATCACATACCTATTATTCCTGAGAACCTTACCAATCCCTTTATAGTTGCTCAGGTTGTATGAGGCAATATTTAGAGCAGTGGTTCTCAACTTTGGCTGCACATTAGAATCACCTGGGGAGAGTTAAAACACTCCAATATCTTATTAACTTCAGGCGAATGACAATTCACTGGTCTACACCAAACCAGGGGTGATCAGTCCTTGTCATTGGCAAGGCCCTTGTCCTAACCACCAACTTGTTCTCATGTATGGTGCAGAGCAGGGCCAAGACCAGGCTTCTCTCTTGCCTCACCCTAGTCTCCCTCTCGTGCAGATATACGTGATTCCATGAGTTTTAATGATCTCAGATGGAACGCCAAGTGGGACTTCACCTGCTTATGAGTACAGGTGTTCATGTTAATTACCCAAATAGCTTTTTCCCAACTTTTTATTTGGGAAGTTTTCAAATCTACAGAAAAGATAAAAGAATAGTATAATGAACTTTTTACCTAGATCTACCAACTATTACTATTTTGACATATTTTCACTATTACTTTCTCCATACACATGTATACATACATATATAATTGTTCACTGAACCATTCGAAGGTAAGTTGTAGACATTAACATGCCTCCATCTAAATACTTCAGCTTACATCTCCTAAAAAAAAGGATCTTCTCTTACATGATCACTGTTACCACTTCTAAAAAAATTAACAAATCTAAAATATTTAATGTATTATCTGTTTTGACAGTTGTTCCATAAATGTATTTTATAGCTTTATTTTTTAAAAATCCTATCAAAGATCACACATTAGATTTGGTTGTTAGAGTTCCTTAGTTCAGACGTTCTCACCTTGACCACATATTGGACTTCATCAGTTGGGTAGCTTTAAAAATTATGCCTGGGCTCCATCCCAAGAGATTCTACTTTAACCGTTTTGGCATGTGGTCTGACCATTAGGCTTTGAAAATCTTCCTCAGATATTTCTAAAATTCATCAAATTTGAGAAAAACAGTTTTAGTCTCTTTTAGTCTATAGCTGTTTCCCTTTTTTCCTTTTATATTGATCCAAAATTTCTTTTTTTTTTTTTTTTGAGACAGAGTCTCACTCTGTTGCCCAGGGTTGAGTGCCGTGGCATTAGCTTAGCTCACAGCAACCTCAAACTCCTGGGCTTAAGTGATCCTTCTGCCTCAGCCTCCTGAGTAGCTGGGATTACAGGCATGTGCCACCATGCCCGGCTAATTTTTTATATATATTTTTAGTTGTCCAGCTAATTTCTTTCTATTTTTAGTAGAGACGGTGTCTTGCTGTTTCTCAGGCTGGTCTCAAACTCCTGAGCTCAAGCAATCCTCCCGCCTCAGCCTCCCGGAGTGCTAGGATTACAGGCGTGAGCTACCGCAGCCAGCCCAATTCAAAATTTCTTGATGTGCTAAATCCACATCTACTTGACCTAAGAACTTTTTTTTTTTTTATTTCAGCATATTATGGGGGTACAGATGTTTAGGTTACGTATGTTGCCCTTGCCCCCCCTCCCCCCCTAAGTCCGAGTTTCAAATATGTCCATCCTTCAAGTGACCTAAGAACTTTGACATGCCCCCTCCATCAAAGTCTTTTTCAGTTTCTTCTGGGAGTCTTTGGTTGCACTTGTGTGTGAATCATTCCTTGTCCCAGCCTCTTTTAAAATTTTTTTTATCGTTACCTTGCTGCAGTCTAATCAGTACCAATTGGCCCATTGTTCAAATTCTCGCATTTCCTGGACCGTGATTTTCCTAGGGCCTATGTAAAGTTATCATCAATAGACCTTTTTGGTGGTTTTTTTTTGTTTTCCCTCTTCATTACTTTGGTCTGAGCATGGATTCACCATGCTAATATCAGTTACAATATTTGTCAACACTTAACTAAAGGCTTGGGGATTACATGTAGAAAAGTTCCCACTAGCTACTATATGTGATTGTTCTCTAAGCACAGGACTTTGATATGTCCTAAGGGGGTCCTGTACTGAGCAAGTAGTGTTATAGCTACTTCCAGGCTTAACAAAAAGCTACCTCCTTAACCAATTGCAGAGCTGCCACCAGACCTGACAACTGTGATGCTTCCTAGTGATAGAACTGCATAGTCCTTTCCCACATTGACTATGGGCTTGGCAATGTGACTTGTTTACCAGTGGAACATCAACAAATGAGACACAAGCAAAGGCTTGATAAGCACTTGTGCATGGGGCTTACACTCTTTGACTGCTACGAGAGAAAACCAGGCAATTCCACTGTAGAGGTTATGAGAAGGAACTGAGGAGGCCATCTTGGGCCATCAGGCCCCAGTTGAGCTACCAGATAACCCAGCTGAATTAGTGACCCCAGAACTGCCCAGCTAAGACCCAGCCAAATTGCAGAATCATGAGTAAATAATGATGTTTTCAACCTCTATGTTTTGGTTTGTTATTTAGTAATAGATAGCTAACATACTTCCTTTTAAGAGACTTCCCAAGAATTCCCACCCAATGACATGTTTACATTTTTCTGGCTAGAATTGTGACATATGGCCACACCTATATGCAGTATGCAAGAGAGACTGGAAAATGTAATTGTGTGTGTGTGTGTTTGCGCGCACGCACAAGAATAGAAATAGTGTTTTTATTCTTGAGCATAAGTTAGTTACCTCCATATTAGAAATATGGAGGTAAATTGGTGAAAGGAGCAGGGAACAATGATTTTTCATTATAAACCTAAGAGAATGACTGCTTTTATAAAAATTTTATAAATCTGTGTGTACATATTACATCGATTAAAATGAAAGTGAAGTTAATCTGATGAGCTGGGTTCAACATTTTATTTTTTTAGTTTTTATTTTTTTTAATAGAGATGAGGTCTTGCTCTTGCTCAGTCTAGTCTTGAACTCCTGAGCTCAAACGATCCACCCGCCTCGGCCTCCCAGAGTGCCGGGATTACAGGCATGAGCCACCGCGCCCAGCTGGGGTTCAGCATTTTAATTTGATTTTATTCAGTAGAAGATTTCTATAAAACTATTCTCTTTGCTCATAAGGAGAGACAACATATGCATACATTAAGAAGACATCCCCTGGAATGAACTAGATCTGCATTGGAATCTTGTCTCCACCATTTACTATCTGGATGATCATGAGGATGTTATTTAATGTATCTGAGTCTTAGTTTCTTCATCAATAAATGAAGGTGATAACACTACCAACATCATAGGGTTGTGGTGAGGAATACATATAATTGTGTATACAAAGTGCTTGTTTATTTACAGGAGGCTTTTGCCTATAATCCCAGCTACTTGGGAGGCTGAGGCAGGAGGATCCCTTGAGCCCAAAAGTTCAAGACCAGTCTGGGCAACATGTGAGACCCTGTCTCTGTAAAGAAAAAATGAATGCTCCTGTAGTTCCAGCTACTTGGGAGGCCGAGGTGGAAGGATGGCTTGAGCCCAGGAGTTCAAGGCTGCAGTGAGCT